GAGAGTTAATCAGTGATCAAAAACTTCCCAAAGTCAAAAGTTCAAAACCAGACAGCTTCAATAGTGAATTCTACCAAATATTCAAACAACATCAATCTTTCTCAAACTCTTGCCAAAAAGCAAAAGAGGTGGGAACAGTCCCAAATTAATTTTATGGAGTGAGCATTACCCTGATATGAAAATCAGATACTGCAAGAAAAGAAAATTACAAGCCAATATCCCTGGTGAAAACAGATGCAAAAATCCTGAACTAAGTTCAAAAATACATTAAGATCATACATGATTATCAAGTGAGATTTATTCCAGAGATGCAAGGATGGTATAAAATTCACAAACAATCCAATTTGATACACCGCATTAAGAAAGTGAAGGGGGGAAAACATACGATCATTTCAAAAGATGCATAAAAAGCATTTGAAAAAATACAAAGTTCATGATAAAAATTCTCAACAAAGTGAGTATAGAGAGAATACACCTTAATACAACAAAAGCTATATATGACAAGTTTACAGCTAATATCTTACTCAATGATGAAAAACATTTTAAAGCTTTTCCTGTAAGATCGGGAACAAGACAAGAATACCCTATCCTGCCACTTATGTAACATGGTATTGGAAGTCCCAATTAGGTAAAGCAAATATGAAAGGAATCCAAATTGGAAAGAAAAAACTAAACTTCATTATTTGCAGATGACATATTATATATTAAAAAGCCAAAGACTCCATCAAAAATTAGTAGACCTAACAAATTCAATAAAGCTGTAAGTTACAAAATGTACAAGAATTTGTTGTTTTTTCTACATACTAATAACAAATATCAGGAACGGAAATTAAGAAAAAAAATCCCTTTTATAACTGCCAAAAAGAATAAAATACTTAGAAATAAATGTAACCAAGGAAGTGAATGATCTGTATATTGAAAGCTACACAGTATTACTGAAAGAAATCCAAGATGACACAAATATATGTAGACATCCATGTTCATGGAATGGAAGAACCAATATTGTTATAGAATGTCCATACTCGGGGGAGGGGAAAAAAATAATGTCCATACTCCCCAAAGCAATCTATAGATTCAGTGCAGTTCTTATCAAAATTCCAAAGGCATATTTTGCAGAAATAGAAACCTAAAATTTGTATGGAACCACTAAAGATCCTGAATAGCCAAAGCAATCTTGAGAAAGAAGAAGAAAACTAGAGCCAACATGCTCCCTGATTTCAAACTACATTTCACGGCTATAGTAGGTGAAAGATTTGGTATTGACATAAAACAGACGCAGACCAATAGAGAGCTCAGAAATCGACTCACACAAACATAGTCAATTAATTCATGACAAAGGAGACAGAACTATACAACAGGGAGAGGAGGATTTCTTCAGTAAATGATGTTGAGAACAATGGTCAGCCACATGCAAAAGAATGAACCTTGACCACCATCTTACACTGGACACCAAAATGAACTCAAAATTGATAAAAGACATAACATAAGACCTGAAATCATAACACTTCTAGAGGAAAACATGGGTGGTAAGCTCCTTGGCATACATCTTGGTGATGATTTTCCAAATCTGGCACCCAAAGCAAAAGCAACAAAAGCAAAATAAACAAGCGAGACTTCATCAAACTAAAAAGCTTCTGCACAGTGAGGAACACTGTCAATGAGATGCAGTGGCAAGCTACCTGAGGGGGTGAAATATTTGCAAGTCACATATCTGATTAAGGGCTAATATCCAAAATACATAAAGAACTGATAGAACTTAACAGCAAAAAACAACAATCTAAAAATGGACAGTGGATCTGGACATATTTTTCCAAAGAAGATATAAAGATGGCCAACAGGGACATAAAAAGTTGCTCAATATCACTAATCATCAAGGCAACACAAATCAAAACCACCATGAGATATCATTCCACACCTGTCGCAATGCTCATTATGGAAAAGACAAAACTAGCAAGTGTTGGTGAGGAGGTTTAGCAAAGGGAACACTTGTGCTCTATTGGTGGACATGTATATTGGTATAGCCACCACGGAAAACAGTATGGAAGGCTCTCAAAAAATTAAAGTTAAAACTACCATATGATCCAGCAATTTACTTCTGGGTACTTATCCAAACAAAATGAAAATACCAACTTTATATATATGTACGTCCATGTTCACTGCAGTATTATTTACAGTAGCCAGATATGGAAACAAACTAAGTGTCCATCAATGGACGGATGCATAAAGATGTGGTACATATATGCACACACAGTGGAATATCATACAACCATAAAAAGAACAAAATCTTGCCATTTGCAACAATATGGATAGATCTTGAGGGCCTTATGCTAAGTGAAATAAAGTCAGAGGAAGACAAATACAAAAACATCTCTCTTACATGTGAAATCTTAAAAAAAAATAATTTTTTAAAACTCATGAATACAGGGAACAGATTGGTTAGTTGGTAGAGGTGGGGGTGGGAGAATTTTTTTTTCTTTAGTTTAAATAAATTGGAAAAAAATGACTTTAAAAGACTAATCTATAATGTTAAAAGTTAGGAGAGTGGTTATTGGGCAGAGGCAGTAAATGAAAGGGATCGAGTCCTAGTAATTCTGCCTTGTTATCTGGGTGTTGATGACTTGGAATTGGCTAGGCCATAGAAGCTTACCAGCTGTATGTTTAGGATATGTGTACTTTTCTGAATGTATATTATAACTCAACAGAATTTTTTTAATGCTGACAAAACAGCAAGATCTTCTGGTTGGTGAACCTGTGGAAGTGGTGGAGAGGATGATGGCCCTAGAAATGAAAGGGTATTCTGACTCCACAGGACTTCCCTGTTAACTCAGCTGGTAAAGAGCCCTCCTGCAATGCGGGAGACCTAGGTTTGATCCCTGGGTTGGGAAGATCCCCTGAAGACGGAAAAGACTACCTACTCCAGTATTCTGGCCTGGAGAATTCCATGGACTGTGTAGTCTATGGGGTCGCAAAGAGTCGGACACAACTGAGCGACTTGCACTTTCTTTTCTTTTGTCCTGGCTCCACTCTCCTCCCCCCATACCTGGTTTTATGCATCGCTTCCTTATGGCTGCCCCGAGTTGTATCCTTTGCATTAAGGTGGTCACCCAGGCCAACCAGAGATACAGGAAGTTCAAGGTGTCAGGGGCCAGGCCTCCTCCCTGCCAGGGCAGCCTGGATACTCAGATACCACGCCCGGGCCATCAGGGCCCTCCTCAGTGCTGGAGCACAAATCCAACAGGAAGCAGAGGGACAAGGGGCAAAAATGCTCTTTCTCAAAAGAGCAGTTTAAATGCTCTTTGCCGGCAAAGGCAATAATCTTTTTAGAACTTCCTCTCCAATTCTGGTGCTGCTGCAAAGGAAAGCTGAAGAACTTCCAAGTCACCTGGTAGAGGTTTGATGATCCACACGTTTATAGGGAAAAAAAACAAGATTGGTTATGGAGTTGGAAGACAGACCCAACATTGCATCTACATCCTCACGTGGGTGACCACGGGGTACCACTTTCACATATAATCTTGGACCTGAATGGCATCATCCGGTATCCAAGGAAACAGCTTTAGTTCAAGATGACAATATAGGACTTCTCAGGTGGCGCCGTGGATAAGAATCGACCTGCCGGTGCAGGCACACGAGTTCAGTCCCTGGTCCGGGAAGCTTCCACATGCTCTGGAGCATCCAGGCCTGTGTCACAACTACCGGGGCCTGCGCTGCGACTGCTGAAGCCCACCCAGCCGAGAACCTGAGCCCCGCAACAAGAGAAGCCACCTCCGGGAGACGCCCTCACACTGCAGCTGGGGAGCAGCCCCTGCTCTACGCAACTGGAGAAGGCCTCCCTTGCAGCAGCAAAGTCCCAGGACAGCCAAAATTATAGCAGTGTGTACATGTCAAAAAAAAAAAAAGATGGCAACATAGAGGGATTCTGCACCCCCCTCCTCCCACAGACAGACTGAATCTACAGCTACATGCGGACAAAGTCGTGTTTTCGTAAAAGAAAAGCCTCAAAAGCAGCTGAGTGATGGTTATACACGGAGCACATGAGAACAAAGCCACAACGCATCCACTAGGAGAGGCCGACACAGTGCTGCCACCACCCACCCCTGGGAGGGAACTCACAACCCCAGACTGTGAAGCAAAGGCTTTGGGCCGCACATCAGGCACCCCAACCTTTAAGACTTCCTCCAGAGGAGGAAGCCCCCAGACAGCTAGCTTTGAAAAAAGGGACTGCTGAGCTTGAGGCCCACAGGCTGTCTGAGGAATGGCCCTCAAAGGGCTCACCCGCTGGGACTCACCTGCCGAAGGGCCCAGTTCATCACACCAGGACTTCACGTGCAAGAGCCTCATGGGCTGAACTTAGAGCACCGGCATCTCACTTGTGCGCTTCCTGGTGGCTCAGCGGTAAAGAATCCGCCTGCAGTGCGGGAGACCTGGGTTCCATCCCTGTGTTGGGAAGATCCCCTAGAGAAGGAAAAGGCTACCCGCTTCAATATTCTGGCCTGGAGAATTCCATGGGCTGTATAGACCATGGGGCCACAAAGAGTCGGACCCGACTGAGCGACTTTCACTTTCAGATGCCCGCAGGGGTACCCACTGGAGCTGGTGGGACCACCCACCCCTGCCATCTTTTTTCCCCCAAAACCCAAGCCTTGCCCCCAGCCTACCCCGTCTGATATCCCCCTCTGCCATGCTCCAGCAGGCTGTATTTTCTTTGAACTCTAGGTCCTTGAACTCCCTCACCTTGCCTCGGGCACCAGGCATGTCTGCTCCCTCTTCCCCTGCAGCTCTAGGGCACAGAGACCTCCCCAGGAATTGGGGGGGGTACTTTTCACGCACATCTGTGGCCCGGTTTTCATGTCGGGGGGGGGGGTGGTGAGGTGGGGCTACAGTTTTTGTGGCTGCCCCCAACGAGAAACCCCTTGATTGCTGGGGAGGTGAGGGCGCTTTGCATTGCTGGGATCCGCTGGACTGGGATGATCTGAGAGTCCCTGGTGGGCCCCCCACCCTCAAGGGCACCGCGCAGGCAGCGTGGGAGACACACGCCTCGTCTTTCTGAGAAAGCGGCCAGCTTGCTTGTCCATGGGGTTGTGACCTGGGGTGGGTTCTCGGTAGGCACACGCGCAGGGGCCCACGGAGTGGCTCTTGGGAATGAGGATGAACGATGCAATCCTCACGCCATCTCCCTGCCTTGCTGCACCTTCTGGTCCGTTCCCAGCACGATTCCTCTGGCTGCCACCAGGGGACACCTGGGCATCACCTGCCTCCTATTTGGGTAAGGTGCGCACGTCTGCAGGGCTCACAGGACTGTAAGCAATGGAGAAACTCTTCACCGGGCACCAGACGCAGGTCACGGCAAGAGCAAACAGACCCCAGAGCGCCATCTTCCTGGGGATGCGCCGGACCAGGTCATCATCACAGCTGCCGCCCGAGGGGTGGCTTCTAACTAAATGCACACCCAGGCTGCCGGTGACCCGATGGCCAGATCCCAGGGGCGGCCCTGTCTCCACGGCCTCCCTCTACCAGGCTCAGGAGCACCGCTGACTCTCAAACGGGAGCTTTAGGGGTGCCTGTGCCCCCGTTTCTGCAGCCGCCCCCGCCTCCAGGCAACGTCTCTCGATCGCCCGGTTCTGATGGCCCAGGAGGCCTGCTCCTGGGTCCCACGAGGCTGTGACGATTGGAGGACAGTTCTTGGCAAGTTCCCACCCTGAGGACGCCACGCAGACAGCAGCCTGAACGCTGCCAGGCTCTCTGTGGAAGAGGCCTGCTTGCTGACCGGGACCTTCAGCCCGAAGGGCAGGCTTTAGCTCTGACCCACGTGCAGGGCCCAGGAGGAACCCTCAGAAATACCATCCCTGGGCTCCTCCTCCGCCTTGCTGCAGCCTGTTTGCTGTGTCCTAGGCTGGCGCTCACACCCCTCTGGAGCCCTGAGTTTTGTGACTGCTGCCCGAGGGACACCTCCAGATCGCCCAGGTCTGATGACCAATAGGACTAACATCGGCAGTCCGCCAGGACTGTGTGTATCTGTGGTGTGTGCTTACTTGCTCAGTCATGTCTGACTCTTTTGCAACCCTATGGACTGTAGCCCACCAGGCTCCTCTGTCCATGGGATTTCCCAGGCAAAGATACTGGAGTAGATCACCGTTTTCTTCTCCAGGGAATCTTCTCAACCCAGGGATCAAACCTCTGTCTTCTATATCTCCTGCATTGCAAGTGGATTTTTAACCCATGAGCCATTGTGAGTACTAAGTCACTTCAGTTGTATAAGACTCCTTGCAACCTCATGGACTGTAGCCTGCCAGGCTCCTCTGTCCATGGGATTCTCCAGGCAAGAATACTGAAGTGGATTGCCATTCCCTTCTCCAGAGGATCTTCCTGACCCAGGGATTGAACCCACATCTCCTATGTCTCCTGCAATGGCATGCAGGTTCTTTACCACTAGCACCACCTGGGAAAATGATATTTGCTTACTTTATTTTTTTTTAATTTTTTAAACAATGTTTAGATGTTTGTGGCAGATGTATACAAACAGTTTGCTTTTAGTAGACTGATACTCTATTTAGCAACTTTGATGAACTCTTACTTGCTTTTAATATCTACTTATTTATTGGGCTGGGCTGGGCTTTAGTTGCAGCATATGGGATCTTTAATTTTCAGTACTACACACAGGGTCTTCAGTTGTGGCATGCAACCCCTTTGTAGCAAGTGGGATCTAGTTCCCTGACCGGGGATTGAACTCAGGCCCGCTGCATTGGGACCGTGGAGTCTCAGCTATTGACCACCTGGGAAGTCCCTGTAATTTCTTACTCCAAAAGCTGCTGTCTGTGGATCTGTCATCCAATCAGCCCAGATCTAGGTGTGGACTGAGATTCTCCCCTCTGGGAACCTGACAGACCTTGGCACACCCTCAAAAAGTGGGAGTTATTACAAATAAAAGAGGCTGCTCCCACAATAGATAAGGCTTGAGAGACAGCCAGGAGGAAAAACATTGTTGAACACAAGGCTCATCTTCTACATGAGGAAACGCCTTCAAAACTGGGAGCGGCATCTGTTTTATCTAATACACAGAAACCAGTGTCGAGCAGAGAAGAGCAAAATAAAACCATGAAAAAAAAAAGTAATGAAATGGAGATAAGTAATTTCCTTGATAAAGTGCTGAATGTCATGGTTGTAAAGATGCTCAATAGACTTGGGAGAACACTGGATGAATAGACTAAGAACTTCAGCAAAGAGAAAATGTAAGAATGTACCAAACAGAAGTCACGGAGCTGCAGAACAGAATAAGTTAACTAAAAAATACCCTAGAGGGTTTAACAGCAGACTAGATGAAGCAGGGGGAAGAAATCAGTTAACTTGAAGTAAAGCAGTGGAGCTTACCCCATCAGAGCAGGAAAGAAAACGAAAAAGAGTGAAACCACAGGACAGCATCAAGCTGACTCACATCCCCGTTACAGATGTCCCAAGAGAAGAGAGAAAAGGGACAGAAATCTTATGTGAAGAAATAATAGCTGTAAACTTGTCTAACTTGGGAAAGGGAATAGACATCCATAACCAGGAAGTCCAGAAAGTTGCAAATGAGAGAAACTTGAGCAGACCCACACAAAAATACACCATAATAAACTGCCAAACATTAAAGGCAAAGAACATTAAAAGCAGTAAGAGAAGAGCTTGTTATATACAAGGAAATGCCCAAAGGCCTATAAGCAGATTTTTTTAACAGAAACTTTTAATATATTTACTCCCTTATGGCCTGCAAAGTGCTGAAACAAACAAAAAAACCTTCCAACTAATTTCACTCTATCCAGGAAACATATCATACCAAATTGAAGGTGAGAGAAAGGACTTTCCACACAAGCAAAAGTTAAGCATGGAAGACCCTGGATCAGCCTTATAAGAAATCTTAAAGGGATTTCTTCAAGCTAAAAAGAAAAGGCACTAAAGAGTAACAAGAAATCACATGTCTAAATCTCACTGGTAACTGTAAATACATTAAGAAGTAGGGGGTTAATCACTCATAAAGCTAGTTCAAAGAGTAAAAGACAAAAGAAGAATTTGTTACAGGGTACCCAGATTAAACCCCCTTCGTGTATCACTGCCTTGTCATGGTGAAGGGGCTTGCGTAACTCAATGAAGCTACAAGCCTTGCTGTGTAGGGCCACTCAAGATGGATGAGTCAGAGTGGAGAGTTCTGACAAAAAGTGATCCACTGCAAGAAAGAGTGGCAAACCACTCCAGTATTCTTGCCATGAGAATAACATGAACTGTATAAAAAGGCAAAAAGATATGATACCAAAAGATGAGCCCCCTGGGTCAGAAGGTGTTGAATATGCTCCTGGGGAAGAGTGGAGGACAGCTACCAACAGCTCCAGAAAGAATGAAGTCGCTGGGCCAAAACAGAAACAGCACTCAGTTCTGGATGTGTCGGGTGAAAGAAAAGTATTGCATAGGAACCTGGAATGTTAGGTCCATGAATCAAGGTCAATGGCAGGAGATGGCAAGAGTAAACATTGACATCTTAGGAATCAGTGAACTAGAATGGACAGGAATGGGTGAATTTAATTCAGATGACATTATATCTACTACCGTGGGCAATAATCCCGTAGAAGAAATGGAGTGGCCCCCATAATCAATGAAAGAGTCCGAAATGCAGTACTTGGGTGCAGTCTCAAAAATGACAGAATGATCTCAGTTCATTTCCAAGGTAAACCATTCAACATCACAGTACTCCAGGTCTATGCCCCAGCCACCGATGCCATATGAAGTTGGCCATATTCTATGAAGACCTAGAAGACCTCCTAGGACTAACACCAAAAAAAGATGTCCTAGTCATCATAGGGGAATGGAATGCAAAAGTAGGAAGTCAAAAGATACCTGGAGTAACAGGCAAGTTTGGCCTTGGAGTACAAAATTAAGCAGGGCAAAGGCTAACAGAATTCTGCCAAGAGAATGCACTGGTCATAGCAAACTCTCTTTTCCAGCAACACAAGAGACAACTCTACACACAGACATCACCAGATGGTCGACACCGAAATCAGACTGATTACATTCTTTGCAGCCAAAGATGGAGAAACTCTATACAGTCAGCAAAAACAAGCCCAGGAGCTGACTGTGCTTCAGATCATCAGCTCCTTATTGCAAAATTCAGGCTTAAACTAAAAAAAGTGGGGAAAACCATGAGGCCAGTCAAGTTTGACCTAAATCAAATTCCCTGTGATTATACAGTGGAGGTGATGAATAGATTCAAGGGATTAGATCTAGTAGACAGAGTTCCTGAAGATCTATGGACAGAGGTTCACAATATTGTACAGGAAGCAGTGATCAAAACTATCCCAAAGAAAAAGAAATGCAAGAAGACAAAGTGGCCGTCTGAGGAAGCTTTACAAATAGCTGAGAAAGGAAGAGAAGCAGAAGGCAAAGGAGAAAAGGAAAGATACACCCATCTGAAGGTAGAGTTTCAGAGAATAGCAAGCAGAGTTAAGGCCTTCTTCAATGAATAATGTAAGGATATAGAGGAAACAACAGAATGGGAAAGACTAGAGATCTCTTCAAGAAAATTAGAGATACCAAGGGAACATTTCATGCAAAGATGGGCTCAATAAAGGACAGAAACGGTAAAGGCCTAACAGAAGCAGAAGATATTAAGAAGAGGTGGCAAGAATACACAGAAGAACTGTACAAAAAAGTTCTTAATGGCCCCAATAACCATGATGGTGTGGTCACTCACCTAGAGCCAGACATTTTGGAATCTGAAGTCAAGTGGGCCTTAGGAGGCATCACTATGAACAAAGCTAGTGAAGGTGATGGAATTCCAGCTGGGCTATTTCAAATCCTAAAAGATGATGCTGTTAAAGTGTCGCTCTCAAGGTCAGCAAATTTGGAAAACTCGGCAGTGGCCACAGGACTGGAAAAGGTCAGTTTTCATTCCAATCCCAAAGAAGGGCAGTGCCAAAGAATGTTCTGACTACCGTACAATTGTGCTCATTTCACATGCTAGGAGGGGTATGTGCAAATTCTTTTAGTAATACATGAACCGAGAACGTCTAGATGTACAGCCTGGGTTTAGAAAAGTCAGAGGAACCAGAGATCAAATTGCCAACATTTACGGGATCATAGAGAAAGCAAAGGAATTCCAGAAAACCATCTACTTCTGTTTTGTTGACTACACTATAAGCCTTTGACTGTGTGGATCATAACTTCTGTTTCATTGACTACATTATAAGCCTTTGACTGTGTGGATCATAACAAACTTTGACTGTGTGGAAAACTCTTTAGAAAATGGGAATACCATGGTGCATCAATTCCTAGGCAGGTTGATAAAAAGTCTGGGGTCCCCGAGGAGGAAAGGAGGGTCTGGGGATCTCAAGGAGGAGGAAAGGACAAATGTCTTTTTTCTCTGCATTCCTTAGTCACATA